TGAACAATTAGTTCGTTTCCATTCTGGTGTATGGACTAAAGCACAAAGTAACTATAGTACTATTAAAAAAGAAATTATATCCATTGTTTTATGTATTAGTAAATTTCAAGATGATATTTTAAATCAAAAGTTTTTATCTCCAAGTCTAATATTTATTAGATAATCGTGATGGACCATCAGATATCACTGGATCCTTGCAGCTATTTCCTATACTGAAGTGGAAATGACAGAGCATTTTTCACATTTTTAGTTGAGGGATTGTTGATTTTACACAAGGGTCAGGACTCTGGTTAGGATATTGGTTGACTGATAAATTAAATCAATTCCATTTTGTCTATTTTAAACTGGTAAGATATCAGTTCATATAAATAGCACGGAGCACGAGACGGCTTAGATAAATAAAAATGGTGATTCACACTTTGCATTAAGTTCCATCTGGTGGAAGTAAATATGGAAGTGCATACTCTTAACAACTGATATGGTAATTAAACCTTTGGGTAGTTATTACGAAATCAGATGAATGTATAGCATGTGTAATAATAACACTTGCTATTATCCAGGTAATTGATGAGATCAACTTAGAATGTCGGAGTTGACCTGAAGGCGGTGTTATCTTACTCAGATCGAGTTTAAGGTATTGGAAGAGGTTTAGTAGTTTAAGGTATTGGAGGAACAGTAGCTTTGTTTCACATCTCTGGATCGGGGAATTGATTGAGAAATTTTATTTGATCATGGGGGATATGCTTGGAACATATATCCTAGGTTTTCATGGATAATTGAAGTGGTTTATTCGCTATTCAGATTTTTGTCTGTCCTATTATTGGCACAAGGAGGTTGGTATGACAACGTTTGAGGTTTTGTATAGTACATAGTGTAGACCTCTTACCTGGAAACGAGGGTTGTTCAATAAGACCTTAACTTCATTTAAGGATACATCGAAAAGATATACTCTTCTTTGTAACAGATTACGCGCGGTTTGGAGGCGGCAATAGGATATTGTAAATAGTTGAACTCGCCCACTAGAGTCTTCTATCAAGAAACGGTTGTTTGGGATGTCTTCCATATTGGAAGTAATGTGTGTTTTGGAGGAAGGTCAGTTTTTACGTATTAAATTGAATTTTTACGGATTGTGTTTATCCATTGAGGCGGTAAACTATAGATTAGCATTACTAAAATTTTAGGGTTGGATGCATAGAAGTTTTTTTTTGCAGATCTATACTCTGGACCTTGGAGGAATATGGATATACCCTGTATAAAAATTGAGTAAGGATGAGTAGTTGTTAAATACAACCTACGTGTAGGATAATTTTTGTGTTTCCTATATATATATCGGACCCATAAATTGTTTTTGAGGATTTGGAATTCAGTGGAGCCCATACACAAAGGCAGAATCCACAACGGCACGGAAATGAATGTTAACAAACATAATTCAGAGTTTCGTGAATTCCGAGGATGGAATTCCTTTTGTTAGGGAGGGAGAATGTAATACCCTTAATTTTCAAAAGGATATAAATGAAATTTAATTATTTATTTCTTGTGCATTTTAATTTTTAATTGACTATGTGGCTATGAGTTTATTTGATTAATTTTTTAATTGAAATATGCGATTTAATTGTGTTTTAATTGTTTCTTAATTGTAAATTATTTGTTTGCTTTAAATGACTAATTGTTTATTTTAATTTTAATTTAAAAAGGCGTATGGAGAGGGATAGTAGGACTGGACCAAATAACTGGGTCGCATGCACTACTTAGATAGGAGATTAGATGGGTACAGTTAATACCCGTGGAAGGTTATACATATATATATGGATATATATGTATATAAGGTTAATCTAATTAATAATTTTAGGGTTTTATGTATATATATGAAATCACGTGGTTGAGATAGCCGACTTATATATATTTATTTTATTTTATTTATTTCTTTTTCTTTTCTGGCTTCTCATGTGAATAGAATTAGGGTTTAGTGTTGCCTATTTATATGTTATTATAGGTCTGCCTAGGGTTAAGAAAAACCCTATTCAGTTTCACGAACAGGGGAGAGTTTTAAGAGAAAAACTGAGAGAAGAAGTTTAGGGTTTGGCTAGGGACAAGGGCTGAACCAAGGAAGGGTGATTGAAGCTTGCTCGTGGGTTGAACCAGGAGCAACAGAGGTTGGTGAAAGCAACTAAGGTTGCCAGAATTACTAGAGAAGACGGTTTAAGGTTTCAAAACTGAAATCAGAGGCAAGTTTTATTTCTTGCTTTTTCCTTTAACCTGTGTTCTGTGCATGCCTAGATAGGCTCCAAGAACTTAACGGACATTAAAATTGATTATGTATGCATGTAATTTAGATGTTAAATTATATTTTATGTGTTGATTAATTGAAATTTAATTGTTGATCAAAGTGTTTCGTATTCTGTTTAATTGTTGTTAATGTTGCATACTATGCTTTAAAAAGTTTCTGGGAAAGTTTTGGGACATGGACGGACCTCTGGGGACCTAAACAAAACCTTACAGAGGGTTTTAAACATTGTCGGAGATGAAGACGACGATAAAAAATAGGGACAGAGCCGGCTCCCAAGGGGTTAGAGTTGGCTCCCTAAGTATTTTTGCCCACAGCTCTCTATGAGAGAGAGAGCTGGCTCCATGGAATTAGGGAGCCAGCTCCCAAGGTTGGGGAGCCAGCTTCCTTGTGTGGGAGCTTGCTCTCTCATTTTTGAGAGCAAGCTCTCTTGCATAGTTACTTACTGGAATTTTTTTAAAGCACGGTTTTGATTTTTTTTTTTTTTTTTTTTTTTTTTTAGATTTCAGGACTGTCTTGGGTTGGTAAATGGGATTCTAAAGGTAAATGGGATTCTAAATTATTTTTCATGACATATTAGGATTTCGTGATGCATAATCTTTATCTATATGCTATTGATTTGAACAGTATGAAAGTTTAAAGAAGTTTGCATGCTGTTAGTGGACATGGATGATTAAATTGCTTATTCTTATTTTAGCGATTTAAATAACTATGACATGATTTTTAAAACCTTGATTCGATGCATAATAGGGTCGTATACTTATCAGACTTTATTTATGCCTATGTTGGATTTAATTAATGAACCATTAAATTCTGTTTTGTCAATTACATGGTTGTTATTCTGAATTTTAATTGATGAACTGTTTATTCTGTTTTATCAATTATTGAATTGTTTGTGGATTATATGCACCAGTATGAGACGGTGGCATATTAGGGATGGATTAGTTCAAAACGCCAAGTCCTACCTATTCTGAAATAAGAAATGGATTAACTATAAAAGTTAAGTCCTACTTAAATTGATGATTAACTTTATCATTTATTGCATCAATTATTTGATTTGTGAATTGTATGCACCGGTATGGGACAGTGGCATACTAGGGATTGATTAGTTTAAAATACTAAGTCCTACCTATTCTGAAATAAGAAATGGATTAACTATAAAAGTTAAGTCCTACTCATATATATGTCAGGTCAATAAACAGTTGAATGACATACCTTTGTTTTAGATGGAATTTATATATATGATTATGGTACCGTGATATGAGCTTGAGTCTTAGGATCATGGTTAGAGTGCGTAAATCGCCTAAGATAGATAACTAGACATAATTGTTGTTCCCTGGTAGGTCTAGGTATACATGCCCGCATGATGTGCGATTTGCATGTTACCTTCTATTCTGGCTAAGACAGAACTATAGGCTAGTAAGCATCCTCTAGTGTGTATTTATACATATATGGACTATTTAGTTATTGCTGAGTTATCTAGGATGTATCTGCATATCGGGTCTCTGCTTGGTCTGTAGTTAGAATAGAAATTGTTTGTGGGCCTAACCCACCATCATTTTTTCAAGTATTCGTCAGGAGTAGGGATTGTTCGTGCTGAGTAAGGATCGTCTACCTCACTCTTCCGGATTATTTTCATAGAAGTTTTCTTTATGGTTTCAGTGTTATGAAGTAGTCACTTGTTCAGTTGGGATTTTTCTAGGGGTCCACATAGTATGGATTCCCGAGTTGTATTGGTAATGGAGGATTGGATGTAGCAGAATATTTTCTTATTTATATAAATTTATTTTGAGGTTTTCATTAATGGATTATCGTTTTAGTTTTCTTTCAGCAATTTTATTTATTCATATTTATCATATTTGTATTATGTGTTTGATTATTGCCCATTTATTTTTATATCCTCGGGTATTCGGGCGTGGGCCTGGCCAACCCGCATTCTGAAATATGGGGGTATCACACATTTCCCTGGTAACCTCCATTTTTGCCCAAGTCATCCTTAGAAGACACTTGGATTCTATAAGGACATTCTCTATCATACCGAATCCATAACCATCAAGTCAATTCCAGATCGCAATGATTCAACCAAAGTCATCTATCATTCCCTATACATCTAGAGGATCATTTCTATGGAAGAATGGGGTGTTCATCCTTCTTTGCTCCAACCTTTGCTTGGTCATGAAATTCATTTTAGTTATTATGACTACATGGCAGCCGGTCATCAATATTGTTACACCAAAATGAGTCATTTACTCATTCTTGGTTTATCAATTTTGATTACAAGTTCAAAAGTCAAATCCCAACCTGGTTCCTCAAATGGTGGTCACAACATGGCGCCATTCCAGAAATCCTGCCCCTCACCCTTGCAGACCAAGTAAAGTATTTTCATACCACTTACAAAGTTAGCAAACACAATTCCCAGTTTCCAATTCTCCTCATATTCTCTTGTAAATACAAGGTCCCCTGGATATTCAAATGGCAATATGATATCCAAAACAATACAGCCATTCGACACCATTACGTCAAATGGTGGGACACTTTCAAGATTGATAGGATCATGGGTTATGTTGAAGATGAATTTCCAAAACATATGCCTAAACAGGTTACTCCAGTCACTTCAGCACAAATTCAGAAGCAAAGTAAACCGGAATAGGCCTCTTCTAAAAAAACAACCCGATCCAAAAGACCTCCTAAGTCAGAAATTGCAGAACTCAAGGAAATGGCAGCATCCATTTTAGATCGCATCCAAGACCTCTCTCAGGATGATGAAGAGGCTGATGTTGCATCCTCAGCTGCTGAATCAAGTCACCCGAGGAATTCGTATGATAATTCTTTGTTCCAAGATAGCCAGGATCCATTCGCTTAATCTAGGCTATCCAAGTCAAAAACACTATTTGCTACAGTACATGTCAAAGTTACTATTTCTATAGGAACTGTCGGTAGAGTTACTATTTCTACAGTCCCCCGACAAAACACTATTCATCTACATTGCCATCGCCGCCGACGCAAAAGGACAAAAACAGTAAGTCCACTATTCATCCACCGTCAAATTCAGTCAGCAAAGTCAGAAGCATCTTTTTAAAGCTGCAAATGCCGGAAAGATGTCTCCAACAGTTCTCCAACAGTGCAAGAATCCAGCTATAAAGAAGGATGCCAATCCATCTGATCAGCAAGCTTAGAACCAGTTCTCTTTCAGGATTCATTCAAGAATGAATACAGGCTTCTCTTGTAGTTTCCAATTGTAATATTCAGTTCTCTTTTATTTATCTTTTGTGAGTGTAATACACCAACAATATGTTGTACACCTCAGAATTCTACCAGTAATTTGTAAGTTTATTTTAAGTTAATTTCTATTTCTATTTCAGTATTGTAATTTGAATTTCAATTGTTATTTGTAATTTGAATTCAGTAATTTAATTTAAGTATTATCAGTTATTTTAAGTTAACGTGCGTTTCCCTCTTTGTAATTTGAATTCAATAATTTAATTTAAGTATTATTAGTTATTTTAAGTTAACGTGCGCTTCCCCATTTGGTATCAGAGCCATTTGTTGTTAACGTGCACTTCCCCTTTTCATTGTTCTTAATTTTGTGTTGCTAAATATATGTGTGTGTGTGTGTGTAATATTAATATATAGGTGCAAGGGGCAAATTCATACTTGTACAGGAAACAGAAAGCAGCAGAAGCAGTTTTCTACGAGAAGCAAAAGCAAGCGGAGGCACAGAAAGCAAATGCAGATGCTGTCTTCTATGCAAAGCAGAAGGCTGCAGACGGTGAACTCTATGCAAAGCAGAAAGAAGTGGAAGGAATCACTGCAATAGCAAAAGCTCAAGGCGCTTACTTGAGTACCCTTCTCAAAGAACTCAATGGAAACTATGGAACACTCAGAGATTACATGATGATCAATGGTGGTATGTTCCAAGAAATTGCCAAGATTAATGCTGAAGGCGTGCGCGGACTACAGCCCAAGATTAGCATTTGGTCCGGGGCCAATGGTGGCGGTGAGGGCAGTAGTGGTGGCGCGATGAAGGATGTTGCCGGGGTGTACAAAATGTTGCCACCAATGTTCCAGACAGTTCATGAGCAGACTAGGATGCTACCACCAGCTTGGCTAGGCACATTGCCTGATTCCAAAAACTCCATCTCTTCTTAATTAGTAATAGCAGTTGTTTTTTTCATGTGAAGTTTTGATCTTATGAACTCAATAATGATATATGAACACTATAATTCTACTTTCTTTAATAATTAGATATTAACAATAATGTTTTGTGCGAAAATTTATTTGAATTATTTTCCTACTCACATGCAAATTGAGGATTACAGAAATTTGGATTCAAATAGAAATTCAAATTTGTAGAATTTTCGAAGAGACTATATTGGGGATTATAGAGTAAAAAGTTGTTTATGTGAGTTGTGGAATATCAAATGGATAAACAACTTAGAGGGGTGAATAAGTTCAACTTGCTCTGTTCTTTGATTTTTGTTTAAATAAAATTTGCTAAAATAAAATAAAATTAAACAACCCTAAACAAAAATCAAGTGCAAGTAATGTAAAGTAGAGAAAGTGTAAGTAATGTAAAGTTTAGTTTGAGAGACAATGGGATTATAAAAGTAAATTCAACGAACCAAAACAAAAATAAAGTGTAAGAAATATAAAGTAGAGTTTGAGAGACAATGGGATTTTTAGCCCAAACGACTCCAATACTCCACGAATACTTTTACCCTTTCTAAGTGACATCACTTCCTCATTTTCTTAAATTTTTTTCTTCAGATTATTTTTCTTCAAATCTGATTTTAATATAAAAAAAAATAGAAACGTTATCAACGTATCTTCAATAATTCGGACTCTGATCTCTCAATTATAAAAAAACAAAAACTCAGAGAATCTCACAAACAAACTTGGCTCTAAACAGGGAGGACCCAGACCATTAAGTGAGGGGGGGCAAGAATGATATTTTTTAATAATTTCTGGAGGGACATTAGTAAAATTTTAGGGGCATATAACTGAAAAGGAACAATTTAGTAAGGCATATTTGTAATATATACTTAGGTTCGTCCTCATCTAAAATAAGTTTAATTCGTGAGTAAAAGTCTTCCCAAAATCTGATAATAATAAAAAATAAAAAATAAAAACCAGTTGAAATATAATTGCAATTATCATATTGGTTCAAGGGTAACACAACCGGTTCGGTTTATGCACAACGAGTTCCATATGAGCAGACTGGGATGCTACCACCAGCTTGGCTAGGCACATTGCATTATTCCAAAAACTCCATCTCTTCTTAATTAGTAATTGTTTTTTTTTTTTTTTTTTCGGTCGGTCAAGTACGATTTGTTTTGCTTATGCTTTAATATTATGTAGAGCACATACGATGGTTTTGATCCTATGAACTCAATAATAGTATATGAACACTATAACTCTACTTTCTTTTATAATTATTAGATAACATCAATGCTTTGTTCCACAATTTATTTGAATTTATTTTCCTCTTCATTATTACAAAAATTTGGATTTGGAAGAGACTATATTGGGGAATGTACAATAAAAAAAATATTTTTTTTGTCATGATTAAATTGTTTTTTAAAATCTAAACTATATGTTTTTAGTTTTTAATGGAACCATGCACTGGCGGATGTAAGGTAGGGCTGGGCTGGGCTCCAGGCCCTGGCCCCCCCCCCCCCCGCGCCCCCCAAATTTTTTTATTATTATTTATTACTATAGGTAAATTTAGCCCAACTTAAAAATAAAAAAAAAAAAAAAAAAAAAAAAAAAAAAAAAAAATTATTATTAGTAGTATTAGCCCACCTCAACAAGTCCAAGTCTAAAATATAGGCTTAATCCAAACAGGCCCAAGCCAAACAAGGCCTAATACATGAACTAGTGTTATGTTCCTAGCCCTAAGAATTGAATTCAAATATACATATAGATTATGTTATAGAAAAGAAATTTCGCTTAAGAAATTGTGTTATTAAATTTATGTTTAATTTTAACCCACTCCATTGTTAATTCTTAGATCTGCCCTTGGAACCATGGAAAAAAATATACAATTCAGAATTGGTAGAGTAGTATCAACCTAAATTGGAACTAGTTCTTAAAAAGTTGGGCAAACTACAATGACCTCCCCTGAAGTTTGGTATAATTACAAGTAAATTTGAGGTTTGTCATTTTGTTGCAAAGACCCCCCTTAGTCAGATTTTGATGTGAATTTACTTATCTACCCTCATTATTATATTGTTAAAAAAATCCTAAAATATCTAACTATGTTAAATTACATTTTTGCCCATTTTTATTTTATTTTATTTTATTTTTTTCTTTCCTCTCTTCTCTGTTCCTCCTCTCCTCCACCCTAATGCAGTAATGCCAGACCCATACCCCACCTCCTTCCCCACCATCACCGGCTACAATTCCCCATCACAGCCACATCTAAAAGCACATATATATTTATATATACATATACATGTATATAACTCAAAGCGGCAAAGGCCATGGCTGACTTCTTTTTTTCTCATCTTCTCTCCGCCAACCCACGCCATCTCCTTTCGCCACCTTCACCGGCCACCACTCCCATCACCGCCACACCGGCAACCGTCGAATAGGGTGGATAGAGAGAGAGAAGGTTAGAGGGAGAAGTAGGATTGTTGAATTTGGTGGCCGCAGGCACTGGTGATGGAGCTCACTCACCTCGCCATCGAATCTGGCAGCGATCCAACCGCCATTCAACGTGCCCTAGATCTAACAATTATTACGGTGAGTTTCATATATAGATATATATATATATGCCACAAACAATTTTCAAAGAAAAATATCTGAAAACCAATCTTCTCGTTCAGACAACCCGAATCCACCACTTCTGTCATCCCATTAGCCATCTTAGCAAACCCTGCTTCAATTCGATGTCTATCGCTTCCAAAACTGAAGCTCAAGACTGACTATATATATCACAGCAATTTATATATATATGAGTATACACTAATAACCGAAGTTCTCAGATAGGTGAGAGGAGAGAGAAAAAATGAGAGAGTGAGAGAGAGAGAGAGAAGGGCAATTTTGTACCTTACAACAAAGTTTTTTTTTTTTGTAATTTGATGACACATTAAGGATAATAGTGTCTTTTTTACTTTGTTAAAGGGCATTTTGGTCACTTCAACCAAATTTTATGACAAAAGTACCAATTTTTGTAGGTAGGGAAGGTCTTTGCAAAAGAGAATCAAATCTGAAGGGGTGTTTGCAACAAAATAGCAAACATCAGGTTTATTTGTAATTAAGCCAAACTTCAGGAGGGGTTATTATAATTTGCCCTAAAAAGTTAGAACTGGAACCGAAATCGTTCAGAGATAAAATCAAACCAAACTGCATGAATCAAACTGAATCACGTGAATTAAATCGTGAAAGACAATTGGATTCAGTTCTGAACTACAATTCTTATTTCTTTTTTCTATTTTCTATATTATACTGTGATAATGATCTTCACTACTACTTCAGCTCTTTCCTTATTTCCTTCACATGTTGGTATGGGTGTTTTTAGACTTGTCAATTGAGCGAATTCTGATCCGAATTTGATCCGAATCCAATCCGATTAGTCGAATATGGATTTTACAAAAAATCCGATAATTCGATTACGATCCGAATCTGATAATCCGTTAACTTAACAAATCGAATATGGATTATGCTGATCCGATCCGTTAATAATTCGATCCGATCCAATTAAAATTATATATATATATAATTATATATAATTATTTATCAATAATTTTACATATATATATATATATATTATTTATCATTATATTCATTTAGTTACACAGTTATATTATGTAGCATTTTGTATGTTAGCAATTTTCGCTTCATCTAACTTTACATGTTAGTAAATATGATTTTAATCCAAATTTGAATCCGATTTGATCCGAGTTCGAGCTAAAAAGAATATGGATCGGGACATTCAGTTCAAGAATTTATTAATGATCCGAATTCAATAATTCGTTTACCTAACAAATCGGATATAAATTTGATCGATCTGATTTGAATCGGATCAGTTGACAGGTGCTTTTTGGTTTTAGTGGACTTAGAATTAGAATCGAAAACTAACTATTGAGGATGCCGTTGATTTGCTACAATAGTAGGTACTTCCAAAAAATCCCACAAAGATGATGATTTCGGGCCTTCCATGTACACCCAAAAAAAAAAAAAAAAAAAAAAAAAAAAAAAAAACAGGGAAACAAAGCCAATCAATCTCATTGGCCTTTCTGCAAACACTAAAACTGCATACAAGAATGGACTTATCCAAACACGTTTTAAAAATATTAGTCGTGATTGCTCTCCAAACACTACGTTTCTCCCTCTCACCTCACGCACAAGAGCACACAGTTTCTCTCTATCCCATGCACATATACACACATACACACACAGTTTTAGTTTATTTCTCTTGATCTAGATCTAGATCCACATCATGTACCGCACAGCTGCTCCGTCTGAGCTCCTTGCCATCACTGGATCTTTCATCACAGATCCAGACATCAGGCTTGCTAAGAAGAAGTGGATATGGCCTGGTGTTACAAGTGAAACTTGTCCCACATCGGATTTGGATGGGGGTTGAAATGTGTATAAATGGGTGGGTATGCAGCACTACTCAATAGTTTAAGCTTTTGGGTAAATGGGCAAGCGCCCACCCGTTACAGTTGGTATCAGAGCCTGACCCAGTCCTTAATTCGGTGTCACACCAAGCGCCCGGCCCGGAAGGCGTCCGGGTCTGCCTCCGGGTAGGCAGGGTGGTCCGACCGCAATGAGGGCATTGCGTGGGTTCGGGTGGGGGAGAATGTTACAAGTGAAACTTGTCCCACATTGGATTTGAATGAGGGTTAAAGTGTGTATAAATGGGTGGGTATGCAGCACTACTCAATAGTTCGAACTTTTAGGTAAATGGGCAAGCGCCCACCCGTTACACCTGGCCAGAAGTGCATTAAGGTCGACCTAACTCGGGTAAACTACACGTTCGAATTGCAAGCCATGAGCGTCGAGAAGCTTCCGTTCGTCCTCCCGGCGGTCTTCACCATCGGCCCCAAAGTGGAGGATGATGAGAGCATGCTCAAGTATGCCAGGCTCATGTCACCCCATGGCAAGCACTCCAACCATGTCACAGAGCTCGTCCTGGGTGT